TTTTCTACTCTTTTCTATATTAGTTTTTTTTAGTCAATCAAAATCATTTTCTATTTGTCTTTTCTTGTCTTTCTTTCTTTATCTTTCTACTATTCTCTATGTATTTCCCTTTATTTCTTCCTTAATGTTTCCTTTTCTTTCTCTCTCTCTCTCTCTTCTCTCCTGTCTTCTTCTTTTTCTTTCATTTCTTCCCTCTTTCTCCGTCTCCTACCACTCTTACTCTATCTCTTTCTTTCTTTCGGACTTTCTCATTTTTTCTCTCTAGCTCTCTCTCTTTTTTCTTTACTTCTTTCTTTCTATTTTTTTTCTCTCTCTTCCCTTCTTTCTTCTTTTTCTTTTGCTTTCCCTTAGTTCTGCCTCTCTTTCTTATAATTTTTACCTTCTTTCGTCTCTTCCTCTTTCTCTGTAGCTCTAACTCTCTCTCTCTCTCTCTCTCTCTTTCTTTCTTTCTATCTCTATTAATATTTATATTTTTTTCTTTTTGCCTTTTTATTTATTCTCTCTATTTCTTCTCTTTTTCTCTCTATTTTCCGAGTCCTCTCTATCTTTCTTATTCTGCCTCTCTAGCTCTCACTCCCTGTCTTTTTATTTCTCTATTTCTTTCTATTTTTCTTTCTGTATCTTCCCTTCTCTCTTCTTCTTCTGCTATCCCTTTTTTTCTGTCTCTCTATCTCTTAATATTTCCATTTCTTTCTTTTTGTCTTCTTATTTATTTCTCTCCCTGTTTCTTTTTTTCTCTTCTTCCGTCTCTCTCTTTCTCATTCTGTTTCTCTATCTCTCTCTTCCTCTCTTATTATTTCTCTCTCTTCTTCTGCTTTCCCTTCTCTCCCTCTCTTCCTCTCTTAATATTTCCATTTTTTTATTTTTGTCTTATTTATTTTGGTTTTTTATTTATATCTTCATTTTTTTTTTACTCTACCTCCGTCTCTCTCTTTTTTTCTCTCTCCCTTTCTTTCTTTTATTATTTTTTTCTTTCATTTTTATTCATTTAAGAAGGTAGAAAAAAAAAGAAATTCAAAAAAGTAAAATTTAAAAATTTTCCCTTTCCTTCTTTTTCTTTTTATTTTATTTTATTTTTTTTTGCATTCAAAGTTTTACTTGCATTCGTGCGTGCGTGTGTTTGCGTGTTTCCGTGCGTTTAAATGTGCGTGTAAAAAAGCGACAAAATGAAAAAAAGAAAGAAAATTTCTTTCCATCAGCACACACACACACTCCCCTCCCCCTTCGCGTTTTATTTTCCTCCGTCAAAGCCATCATTTTTCCTACGTTTTATTTTCTTCGGTCTGAAAATTCATTTGTCAAATTTTTTTCTTTCTTTCGCCATCTTTTTTTTCTATTCTATTCTATTTACCTGAACGCGTAAATTTTTTTTCCCGCCATTTTCTTTCTTTTTTCTTTTTGGAAAAATTAAATTTTCCGTTTGTTATCAATCAATATTATCAATAAATAATAATAATAATAATAATTATCCGAAAATAAATATTAAAAAAATGTCCACAAACGTTTTTAGCTTTTTACCGTCGCGATGATAATAATAATAATAATAATACGTAATATAAAATTACTGGAAAAAATTTTAAAAACCTTTTTACCCCTCCCTCCCCTCATTTCACTCCCCGCCCTCATCTTCCTCCCTCTTAAAACAAACGTGGATAAAGTTTTATCCGTTTGGGAAAATAAAAATTAACTGCATAATTAAATTTAATGTCGGAATATAAAAAAATCTGGAACCGAAAGATTTTAAGGAGAGGACAAAAAAAAAATCGGTTGTTGAAAAAAGCAAAAGGCAAACAAAGAGAACGAACAAACGGTTTCCGACGGAAGTGAAGTAAAAAAAACAAAATAAAAAAAAATAAAAAAATTTTTTTATTTTTATTCCTGCGTGCAAGTTACGCCTTTTAACTGCATTCAAAGGTTTTTTTTTTTTTGCAGATGGAAAAATTGAAAAAAGACAGAGAGAGACAGAGAGAGAGACAGAGAGTGAGAGAGGTAGATGGAGAAAACAAAATGGAAAATTCTGACGTTATAAATCCCGTAAACGATTTTTCATATTGATAAAAATTTAAATTAAATGTGACGTAATAAAGTCAAACGATAAAAAATAGTAGAGGACAGTCACTCTCTCTCTCTCTCGTCCTTTTACTACTAATTATCCAACTGGAGAAAATGTTAATTAAAAATTTTTTTTTTTTTTTTAGTTTATCTTTCTCACCTTGTTTTGTTTATTAAACGTTAAAGGAATGAATAGAGAGAGAGAGAGAGAGAGAGAGAGGAAATGGAAAGGAGAGAGAGAGGAAATGGAAAGGAGAGAGAAAAATGGAGAGGAAAAAAAGAGAAGAAGACGGAAGAGAGAAAGAAAAGTAGAGGAAAAAGAGAAGAGAGTAGGGAAGAGAGAGGGAAAAAGTTAGAGAAAGAGAGATAGGAAATGGAAGGGAGAGAAAAGGTAGAGAAAATGGAAAAGAGAAGAGGAAAGAGAGAAAGAGATAGAGAAATTTTTGCGAATAAAAACAATTTTCTAAAGACACGTCACGCGTTCACTTAATTTTAAATACTTAACATTATCATTATTAGTTTTTTCTTAAAATCTGTCATTCGATTTAAAAAATAAAAAAAAACTCATTTTCGTATTTGATATTTCCGTTAATTAAAAAAAAAATTATTATTATTATTATTATTATTCTCCTTCCACATTCAGAAATTTTTTTTTTTTTTTATTATATTTCACCGGTCTTAAAAATATTTTTCCAGTTTTTTTTTTTGAAAATTTTGTTTAACCGTCGTCGTCGATTATTTTAACGCGCATGAGCGTCAGCCAAGAAAAAAAAACAAAATGGCCGCCACGCGTTTAAAAAAATGTCAGGAAAGAAAAAAAAAAAAATTCGACAAAATAATTTTTAAAAAATTCAAACGAGTGGAACCGTCATTAACACAAAACTTTGAAACGTTTTTCCAACATTTTCCTTTCTTTTCTTCCTTTCTCCGAACACAATATTAAAAAAATTTTTTAAATTTTTTTCCAAGATGGAGAAAATACTAATACTAATAATAATAATAATAATAATAATAATAATAATAATAATAATAATAATAACGGTTTAAACATTTGGAAAATATTTTAAAATTTAAAAAGTAAACGGTATCGTATTCATTTTGTATTTATTCCCTATACTCTTAACCTTGTTTATTTACTCTATGAAATTTTATTTCAAAAAAAAAAAAAAAACTTTTTTCGCGTTATTATTATTATTATTATTGTTATTGATATTATTATTATTATTGATATTATTATTATTATTATTATTATTATTATTATTATTATTATTATTATTATTATTATTATTATTGTTATTGATATTATTATTATTATAACATAATAAACGACGAATACGAAAAGAAGAAGAGTTTTCTTTTTTCTTTTTTTTTATGGTTAATTTTACGACGATTTCATTGGTTAAATAATAAATTTATTATTATTATTATTTTTTTAAATGGAAAATCGTTTTTTTCTTCTGCTTTTGCTTCTGTTTTTTTTTTCTTATTCACTTATAAAAACTTTTTTATAATAACAAAAAAAAAAAAAAAATACGTTAAACGTTATTTTTAAACGATTTTTTGTGAAAAATGAAAAAAAAAAAAAAAAAACTTTTTGAGTTTTTGTCAAACGAACGGAATAATAATAATGATTAATTTTTTTTTTTTTTTTTTTTTTATAAATGACGAAACGTTCGAAACAGAAATTTTTATAAATGATAATAGTTTTAAAAAAAAAAAAAAAAATTTTTTTGACAAAGGAATTGTTTAACTTATGAAAAGGAAATTCAATGGAAAGTTTTTTTTTTTTTTTTGGTAAATGGTAAATAATAAATTTACCTCAGAAAATTTTTTTCAGGAAAAAGGATCCGCGATTGGTCAATTTTTTACTTTTTGACCTTTTAGAAAAAGGAAGGAAATGAGAACAACCGCTAGTAGGTCCTTAACTGTTTTCGTTATTTGTTTCGTAATTTGTTACATTTAGGGAGAGGAAGAGAGAGAGGGGGGGGGAGAGAGAGAGATAGAGAGAGAGAGAGAGAGAGAGAGTGAGAGAGAGAGGAACACTTTTGGAAGTGTATAACACCTAAGGAGAGAAAGAAATTTGAATTCGAACGCAATGCGTTGTGTAATACGTCGTAACTTGCGGTTTTCACCCTTGTAAGATATTTGGGAGGAGGAAAGGGGGGGGGGAGGTTGAAAATGAAAGATGGAATTTTACTCCGTCGGAATGAAACTAGAAATTCCAAACCCACTTAAAACTTAATCAAAATCATTTCTTTCAAATATTAAGCCGCCATTTTGTTTTTTCTTCTAGTTTCTGTTGTAACAATCAAAATCTTTCTTTTCGTATTTTGTCCCTAACCAAACAAATCACCAAATATTAATCGTTAGTATTAAACGCATCTACCTAACTTCGAGAACCTTCTGCACTCTTCTTTCCTCCATCTTGTAATTATAAGAAAATCATAAAAGCATCTCAAACGAAAACGCACACACACGGCAATTCTATCGACCTTCTAACACTTTACAACAACCACGTCGAAATCGTGGCACAAACCACTACGCATAACCTAACCTCAACCTAACCTAATCTTGTTTAAACGAATCCCATTAAAAAAAAAAAATTTTTTTTACCGTATTCCCATAATTTTTAGTTTTTTCTACTGACACTTAATAGTTGTAATAAATTTAACAACAATTTATTTATTACCCTCTCTCTCTCTCTCTCTCTTTTAAAAACCGAGTAATATTATTATTATTATTACGAGTCTTTTAAAAACTCAAACCGTAAAATTAAATAATTAATTGTTTTTTTTTTTTTTTTTTTCACATTCTATAACCACGACATAAATTTTTTTATTACTTAAAATTACATATAATTAATTGAATTCTTACTTGGTTTTATCCGTTTGTACACAGTCGATGATGATGACGTTTTGAGTACGTTATCACGTGACACCACGTTATCATCAACACAAAACGTTTGAATTTTTTCTTGCATTTTGAGCGTACCAATAATTCAATGCGCATTGACATAATGAAAAAATTAGGAGGACGCAATAGAGAGTCGCACCCACCCAACAATTCAAAGCGTTCTGAAAAATAAAACAGTAATAATAATGATAATTATAATGATAATAATAAAATATGTGAAAAAAAAAATAATATGAAGGAAAAGGTCAAAAGGTTATTCATTATAATTTTACAGCGTCATATCCGGATTCTAAATTTTTATAAAATTCCGTGAGGTTCGTCAGCGGATGATTATTTTCCAAAAGGTGGGATTCAGGTACGTCATCGACAAACGCGAGACTCCTTATGTGAAACAACAATTGCATCGTGCCTAATTGTATGATTCCCCAAGCGCTTAAAACGCAACAACAAACGGCCGTTTTTATTCCCAAACATTTTAAATGCAACATAACCTTTGTTTTCTTCCTCTTACTTTTCCTCCTCCTATTATTATTATTATTATTATAAACAACAAAATCGATAATAATAATAATAATAAATATCAAACATGTTTGTTTGTTTTTTTTTTTTTTTTAAATTCAATATGGCGACGATTATTTTATGTTTACGTTTTTTTTTTTTATTTAAATCAAAGGAATTTTTTTTTTTTTTTTGTTAAAAAATTTTCCTTTCAATTTTGTTTTTCCTGTCGGGAAAAAAATTTTTTTTATCGTCAAAGGAAAATCATTTTACCTTTTTTTTTTTTAGGCGTTTTCCTTTTTTTTCCTTTTCATTCTAGAAAATTCCACCTGTCTAACTTTTTATTCTTATTCTTTTGTTCTGTACGTTTTATATGTTGCGCATTCTGTCTATCCAGGAGGATTCCTTTTGGAAACTGGAAAGAAAAAAAAAACATAAAATAAAATACTTTTTTCCTTTTTTTTATTACATCCTCTCTCTCTCTCTCTTCTTGTTTTTTTTTTTTTTTTTTATCTACGCGTTCGTTCGATTTTCGATTCGCTTTTTTTCTTTTTTTTTTTTTTTTTATCTATTTAACGTTTCGTGTCTTCGTATACGTAAAAATTTATGACTTTTAAAGCAATTATTCCTGTTGCTGTTGGAGGAAAAAAAAAAAAAAACTTTTATTATGGTATGAAAAAGTCTTTTTTTCCTTTTTTTTTCCCTTTTTTCCTTTTTTTACCTAATTAAATTCAAACCGTTTCCATTGTTTTACAGATTTATTACTTTAAATAAATAAATAAATAAAAAATCCGTATAAAGTTAAGTGCGTAAACGCGAGAAGAAAAGGAAAAAAAGAAAGTGGCAGCAGAAGGAGGGAGAGGGGAAGGGGAAGAGGGGAGGGGGAAACACGCGAAAAAACACAATGTGTTTAAGATGTATGTTTATGTTTTAAAAACTTTCGCATTTAATTTTTTTTTTTTTTCGCGATGCTTTTAAAATTTATTCTAGAAAAAAAAAAAATTTTCTTTTTCTAAGCCTTTTTACGGAATTTTTATATATATATTTAAAAGGTAACCAAATATTTTAAGTGTTTACAACAACAACAACAACAACAAACAACAAACAACAACCTTTTAGTCTCTCTCTCTCACTCTATCTCCCCCTCGTTATAAATATATATATATAAAAATTCATAACCTTTTTTTTTTAAAAATTCCTTTTCTACCTTTCCTTTCCCTTCACATCATTTTCCTTTTTCTACAAAACCTTTGAGACGATTTAACAAACAATAATACGATTTTATTAAAAAAAAAAAAAATTATTTTTCCGATGAATAAACACATTTAGACAACAACAACAACGACAAAAAAAGAGGAGGAAGTGGAAGAAGAAGAAAAACGTTGACAGTGATTTATGTTTACGAAAGAGACAAACATAACAAACAAACAATACCTGACAAGAGCACAGCATCTCCTGAAATAAAAACTTTTTAAAATTGTCCGGAAGTGGAAAAAAATTCGAAGCGGGAAAATAACGGAAATTTATTTATTTAAATCAATATTATGTGAATGAATGAACGAATGTGTTTCCGGTAGAAAATGCGAGAATGATATCTGAACGTGAAATTAATTTTTTTTTTTTTTACATTTTCCGCTTTTCCGATTCGCTACGCACGATTCGCCGTCGCCACTACCACCTCCGCCACATACACAACCGCCGATTTCCTTCGTGTTTTAATGAGATACTCACGAAATTTTCCGACAAAATTTTTCCGACGCCACCGTCAAATTTAAAATTATCGTCAACCGCCGCCGCCGCCACCACAACCGCCATTTTTTTTCGTTTAAATAATTTTTTGTTTAACTTGAAAATTTTTTTTTGGGAAATTTTAAATTACGACACGCACGTACTCGAATTTTCCGGCGGTTTCCGGTTGTTTTTCTATTTTCATTCCCTTCCGAAACCACCGGTGCCATTTTCGCCAAATTTACCACCATCGATTTCCCTCATATTAATTATTTTTAATTTGAAATTCACGTTTGAAATACGATACATCATCGATCGAATTCCTCCCCCCCACTTTTTTTTTTGTTCTGGAACGATTTGGGATTGAAATTTGTTATTTGTAATTGTTAACTCAAAATTTTCCAGGAAAGTTTTTGATGCAGGAAAAAAAAAAAAACTTTAACGCGTGAGAATAAAGGTCAAGAGGTTAAGAATTACATTAAAAAAATGATAGAGTATTAAAATTTTAACGAGACGACGGGATAATCGATATGATTTCCTTTCTCTCTCTCTCTCTCTCTCTCTCTCTCTCTCTCTCTCTCTCTCACTTTCTTTCTAAAATTTTCTTCAGAAAGTTTAAAAAAATTTTTTTTTTTTTTACTCTTCAATTAGTAGGCGGGAAAATTTTTTTTCTTTTTTTTTTTTCTTAATTGTTTTTTTAATATGAACTTAGTTTCGTTCACACTAATTTTCACTCTCTTTCTCTCTCTCAACTACTTTTCTATCCCTTCATTTTTTTTCTCTTTCTCTCTCACTTAAACTATCATATTTCTTCATTTCTCTCTTTTTCTTTCTCTCACTTTAATTTTTCAAAATTTCTTCATTTTTCCTTCCTCTCTCTTATTTTCATATTTTTTCATTTTTTTTCTCTCTCTCTCTCTCTCTCTTTCTCACTTTCACATTGTAATTCCTATATTTTCTCTCTCTTTCTCTTTACTACTTTTCTATTCCTTTATGTTTTCCTTCTTTCTCTCTCTCACCCACTTTAACTTTTCCTTTTCCTTCAATTTCTTTTTCTCTCTCTCTCTCTTTCTCTCTAATACTTTCACATTCCTTCATTTTCTCTCTCTCTCTCTCTCTTTCTCTCTCATTTCACATCCTTTCATTTTCTCTGCCTCTCACTTCTTCACTTTCAAATCCCTCCATTTTCTCTTTTTCTCTTTCTCTCTATTACTTTCCATTCCTTCATATTTTCCCTTTTTCCCTCTCTCACTCACTTTAAATTTCCCTTTTCCTTCAATTTCTTTCTTTCTCTCTATCTCTCTCTTTCCCCCCCACTTTTTTTCGCACACACGCACGCATACTAGCGCGCTCTATGTGAAAAAACTTTCGTTTTATATATTAATTAATATTATCCAGTGCAAAGAGGTTGACAAAAATTTTAGCAATTAAATAAAAAATTTATCATCGTTTTTTTTTTATCGGTTGTTTTTGTCGTTGTTGTTGTTGTTGTTCTCGTTTGCACTGTACAATACTCTAAATATATAAAAAGAAATATTTAATTCCACCTAAAGAACGCTATCGTATTATTATTATTATTTTCCATAAAAAAAAAAAGAAAAACGTTATTTTTAAAAAAATATCATCATCATCATCATCATCACGATCGTTAAGATAATAGAAAATTTTCAATTTCCGGCCGTTATTTTAACGATAATTATTATTATTATTATTATTTTTTCATAGTTTCTTATCATTTTTATCAGTAAATATCGAAAAAATTTTATTTACGTGATTACGATCGAATTTTAAAAAAAAAGTTTTCAACTTTGTAACGATTACGAATCGATTTTCACCGGATAAGGTGGAGGGGAAAAAAGAAAAATGGCGGGAAAATTATATTTTAAAAAACTGATTACGTCATCGTCGTCGTCATCGTCGTCATCGTAACGGTTAAAATTATTAAAAACGTGTAAGAATTTTAAAAAAAAAAAAAAAAAATGCGGGAAAATATTTTACAATTAAATTATTAAAATGATGTTTTTTTTAAAAGAGAACATGAAGAAGAAGATGAAAAAGAAGAAGAAGAATGTTCTAGAAAAAAACGTTAAAAAGATGAATAATTTTTTTTTTTTTTTTGGGAAAAATTTAATGATGAAATTTAAGGTTTCAAAAAAAAAAAAAAAAAAATTACCGAAGATAACGAAGCCGTGTTAAAAAAAAAAATTTTTTTTTATAAATTAATCGAATATTCTAGAAACCTTATCCGGGTGAAAAATAATATTCAAAAATTTTTCCCATGAAAAAAATTATTAATCTAATCACGTCTTATTTTTAGAATGAAATCCGCTTACCGAACTTGATAAGTTTTTCTTCCTCCTCTTTTTTTTTCCCTCCCTCCTCCTCCTTTTCTTCCCCTTCCTCTCCCTTATCCATCCTCGTCTTAAAAGAAAAAAAAAAAAAGTTTCACGTTTCGAAATTTAATTTTTCAAATAAAAAAAAAATTTTTTTTTTCCGCGAAAAAGAAAAATTTAATTACGATGTTAAAATTAAAGAGTGGTAATTATTATTATTATTATTATTTATTTAATAGGTTATGAATGAACGTTAATTTCCGCTAAAGTTCGCTATTCTAAAACCACGTCGAAAATTTTTTATTATGTTATGATTTTTATAAAAAAAATTTCACGTCCGACATTTTGTTTTGTTTTTTTTTTTGATTTCTATCTACGTAAATTTAATTAAGTTTAAAAAGTTATTATTATTATTTAGTTTTGATTTGAAAAATGATGAAAAAAAAAAAAAACAAAATTTCTTCTGACACGTTTCCGGTTTTTTAATTTTTTTTTTTTTTTTTTTTGAAAATACGTTAAATAAAAATTTCAAAAAAAAAAAAAGAAAAAAAAATGTAAAATGAAATAAATTTTTTTATTATTTCCACGTCAAATTTTATTCGGATGAAGGAGGTTGAATGAGGAGTAGAAGGAGAAGGAGAAGATAAAGAGGAGTAGAAGGAGAAGGAGGAAGATAAAGAGGAAGATAAGGAGGAAAAGGAGGAGAAAGAGAAGAAGGAGGAGAAAGAGGAAGAGAAGAAGGAAGAGGAAGTGAAAGAGAAGGAGGAAGAGGAGAGATTAAAAAAAAAAACGCGCCATGTTTAAAACTGTGGAAAATGATGATGGCGGCGGAAAGTAAGCGAAAACGAAGAATCGTCGAGATTGTCGATGACGCGGATAGCGGAGGCTGCGATGAAAAATTGACGACGTGAAAATAAATTTTTTTTTTTTCTCATCATTTTTCAAAAAAAAAAAAAAAAAAAAAAAAGAAATTTATTATTTTCGGGTTGTTTTTATTGGTTTTTGATTTAATAAAATTTTAAAATTGTAAAAATTGAATTTCTCTATCTCTCTCTCTCTCTCTCTCTTTCTCACTCTCGCGAATTTTTAAACTTTCTAAAACTGTGAGAGAAAATCGTTTTAAATTATTTCATTTCATTATTATTATTATTATTATTATTATTGGTTTTTTTTTGGGTGACGTAGGAAAACATTCTACGCTCAACCGAGGTTTTGAGATCTAAGGATTATTTTTTTTTTTGTAAATTTGATGCTTGTATCGACCGGAAACGGTATCGAATAATTTCATTTTGATTTTCAAACGAGAGAAAAAAAATTCCTTTGTTCTGGAAAAATCTTTTCCGGGAAATTCGGAATCGTTTTACTTTTTTTTTTTTGAAATCTATTCGAATCCATGTTTTTTTTTTACATATTCTAACGAATATTTATTACTTTTCCACATTTTCCCTATCGGTTTTCTTTCTTACACTTCCGTTTGTGATACAATCCCCCCCCCCAAAAAAAAAGGATCGATCGAAACCTCATCAAACCTGTAGGATCACCTTTCTAACCTAATATTTTCTGTCTCTTTCTCTCACTCACTCAAATTATTTCTTCTTCTTTTTCCAAAAACCTTTCCTAACTCATCATCATTATTACTTAACGGATATTAAATTTTCTTTTTTTCTTTAATGACGTCACTACCG